CTGCGATGCGCACTGACAGGTCCCTTCCGTGTGTCCTGGCGGGTTCACTCCCCCTCTGCAGTCTAGGCTCCCCCTCTGCGGTCTAGGCTCGCTGCGTTGCCAGAGGAAAGGCTCTTCATCTCTGATTGTGGACCCAAGTTCTGCAGGGCCCTGAGGCTCGGTTCGCTTTTTTTTTTTAAGTTTGTTTTCTCTCATGTTCGGATCAGTTGACTTCCGTTGCTCCATCTTCCAGGTCTCCCCATTCTGCAGCGGAGCCCCTATGCTGCATTTCTCAGTTTTATGTATATACGTATGTAAGCATTATTTGGGGGATTTTTGCCATAAGGCTTGTGCACTCACTGGAGGGGTGGGGAGACAGAGGCAATGAGAGGGAAAGTGAGAAATCACGCCCCAGGGGCGATGGCCACACTGCAACCCCTTCTCCTCCATTCTCCTCCCAGATCTCGGGCATGTATGCAGACATGCTGGCGTGATTTTCAAGCTGCTGGGCCCAGGACTCGAACCATGGTCACCATGTGGGAGTCCAGCAATGCAACTACTCTGTCACCTGCTGGCCCATACTTTGCAGTTTTAAAATCCCCACTGGGTTCTACTATGGCTTCTTTTCCTTGGTTAGTACCGTCTGTTACTACGTCTGTCCAAGGCATGCCCGTAACAGCTCACTGAAGCATGTGTAGGCCCTCGTCAGGCCCTCGCACCCGTGTCCTCACAGCGCCGCCCTTACTGACCGCGCCTGCTGCCCTGCAGTTTGCAGTCTTGCTCGTTCTCAGGAGAGTGCGTCATTCCTGTTGAAATGTGAACACTTTGGTTGTTACAGGGGGCGTGCCGTCTCTACCAGGTGGGGGTCGAAATCCACGTTCCCCACTCGGCCTCCTTGACGCTGTAGGCAGGGCGCCCTTGTTAGTCCTGGTGGGGCAGGGCACCCCTCGCTCACGCAGTTCCAGCTTTGGCCACCCCCGTGAGGAAGGGAGGATCCCCCAGTCGGGCGGGACCTGGTGGGGTAGAGCCCCATCACTTCTCGCCATGGGAAGGCCCCTGTCTGGCTGGGCTGCGCCTCACCCACCCTGCAGCGTTTCTGGCAGCTGCTCCGTCAGCACTAGGTCGGGGTGCGCAAGTCAGGAGGAAGCCGTCCCGCACCCTGGACTGCCTTCTCCCGCCCCTTCCACAGTCTCCTGTGTTGGCCACGGGCACCTAGCAGGCGGTGGCAGGGCGTGCCACCTCCTCGTGATGGCAACAGCCCCTGCTGTCTGCGTTTTGCCGTCTTGGCTTGTGGCCCCAGACACTGGCCTGCATCCCAGGGTTCCGAGGTGGGCCTGTAGCGTGCTCCTTCCCTCTCATTTCATCTGCAGCTCCTCACTCACCAGGTTAGTCTGCCAGAGCCCTGTCTGCCTGGCAGTGTCTGCTTTGAGCTGGCCCCAGCAGCCTGAAACACTGGGCAGAGTGCACGTGTGTCCAGGTCCTGGGGGGACGGAGATAGGAGGCGGGACTGCGGCAAGCCCATGCCCCGTCGTGGAGTACGTCGTGGGCCATCTCTGACCAGCACACGTGCTCTCTGGCAATGTCGGGGAAGCCACGTGAGAAGCAGTGTTTGGTTCAACGATGCCTGAGCCCTTCCCGCCCACGTGCTCGTGTGGCCCCCTGGCTCCTCCTTCGCCATCCCCTGCAGCTCTTGGAGCAGCTTCCTGTGTCTTGCACCGCGTTTTCTGGGGGACGTGCTTTCGTGTCTCCCGCTCTGGAGCCCTTTCCCTCCTCTCCTCCTCTCCACATGAACTCCTGCGCTTGCCCTGGAGCAGGCTGTGCACCTCCACTCCCCTCGCACCAGTGCCCCCACTGCTGCCATCTCCTCGGGTTCTCCGTCACAGTGGGGATCGGCACAGGCACGCACACGCCCCGTGTGGTTTTAACACGTGGGGGCAGGGATTCATACATGGCTGCCTATTGAGGATCTGGCTGCCCTCCCCTTTTAAATCTGATCACCATCATCATCATTTTGAGACGGCGCACGTGCACTCCCCAAAGGGCAGGTGGGAGTGAGAAAGCAAGCTGCCAGGTCCAGGACTTGAACCGGGGCCAGCCATGTGGGAGCACCCCAACCACCATGCCAACTGCTGGTCCCCTTAACCACTAGGCCCAGGGTTAGCTGGAAAACCAGAATTCTGAATTCTAGTGGAAGTCGTTTCCAGTCTTTGTTATCCTGTGTGAGGGAACACCCTCCTGCCATGCTGCCTGGCTCGGGCTAGGCTGCCCGCGGCCTGGTCTGTCCAGTTTGAGGATCCAACCCCACGCAGCTGGAGCGGCTCTGTGCATCGGTGTGGGGCCCAGCTCTCATACTGCATGGCTTGCTCTCCGGGCCCTCAGGTCACCTGCAGCACGCCAGGTGCTCCCGGGGCACCGGGAGCGTCGGTGTTACTCGTGACGACAAAGCCCACCTTCTCCGTGCCCTTTCTCGGGGCGGCTTCCGCCGTTCTCACCCTTTATTCTTCCAGAGACACGTGTGAAGGCCCCCCTCGTCAGGGTAGAAAGTTGGGGGGACCAGCAGATGGCGTAATAGTTACATCAATGGACTCCCGTGTAGTTGACCAGGGTTCAGGTTCCAAAAGTCAGGCTGGGCGCGTGTGCGTGTGTGCCCGAGAGGAGAATGGAGGAGAAGGGATTGCTGCGCGGCCGTGCCCCCTGGGGGTGATTTCTGGGAGGGCCAGCAGGTGCTTTCTCACCTCTCTCACTCGTTCATGAGCGTATCCTATAGCAAACTTGAATAGTAGTGACAGGGTTTACCTTCGGGTATGTGCGCTCTCTGCGGGCAGAGACAGCCAGTGAGAGGGAAAGTGAGAATCACCCTCTGGGGATGGCCTTGCTGCATGCAGTCTCTTCTCTTCCACTCTCCTCTCAGGATCGTGGGCACATACGTGCCCGGCATGAAGTTTAAGTTGCCAGGTCTGGGAGTCGAACTGCAGCTGCCACATGGCAGTTCGTTGACGTGATCAGTATGCAGTCTGCTGCCCCCAATAAGCAATTTTAAAAAAGAAGAAGGAAAAAAATTATGCTGGGCCTGTGTGCATGGGTCCCCAGAGTTCCAGGAGGGGATTGCGGCATGGCCGTCCCGGCGCGGTCTCTTCCCCGCTCTGTCTTCCTGTTTCTCTCCATCGAGCGCACACAACCTGTGGCAAAAACGTAAAAACGAGTCGGGTCCGATCAGCTGTGCTGCAGCCCCCAGTGGAGGCCTTTCAGAGGGGGCCTCGTGTTATCTTCTCACTGTCCCTGGCTCCTTCCCAGGGCGGGTGGTGCGCTGGGGCCTCCCATCCTGCCGGTCCAGTGTGCGGAGTCAGTGTGGACCAGCCTGCCGTGGGCCCGCGGGAGCGCTCCTGTGTGGGTGCTCAGGCTTTTCAGCGTCAGCCACCGTCTCGTGTGAGTAGTGGCCATCTCTCTTCCTGTCTCTCCGACTCTCCTACACTGGCCGACCCGAGGCACGCCGGCTGTGGCGGGCCCAGCTCCCCGGCCCCACGGCCTCAGGAGTCTCCAGGAAGCTCACGTGAAGCTAGGCGTCACCTCCGCTCGCTCGTCCGCCGTGTTTCTCCTTTTATGTTGAGTTGGTTTCAATTTTGTCAGATACTTCTTTCATACGCCCCAAGGTGACTGCTAAGTGTCCCCTGCATCCACGCTGCCCCCACCAGCTGGCTGGGGATCTCACAAGGTGCACCCCAACACCCAGGCGTGGGACTCGGCTCTGGGGGGGAGCGATCAGGGGTCCCTGAGTGTGCGGCAGCCCCAGGGAACTGTGGGCCTGGGCGGGAGAGGTCTGAGGACTGGGACGGTGCCTGGTGCCCATGTCCCCATGAGCTGGCTGTGCTCTGGCCTTGGCTAGGCTGGTCTGGGATCTGTGGTGGGGCCTGCAAGGAGTTGGCCCTGTCCCGATTCCTCCTGTCCTCGGTCTGCTGTGAGGAGCAGTGGGGTACCCAAGGCACACTGGACTCCAGGTCCCCCCAATCCAGCTGCAGGAGGACAGACAGAGGTGCCCTCTCCTGGCACGGCCTCAGCATGAGGTGGGCCCGCTGCAGGGCCATGGAATTGAGCCTGGGAGGGGTGGGCAGGCCTGGCAGGCAGAGCAGACGGTGCTGCGGACAGGATGCTGGGCCGACCCACCTGCTGCACCCCATGCTACACCCTTTTCCCAGGCTCAAAGCCTGGACCCTGCTCAGCAAGCCCCCCAGGCCTCAAGCCACGCCGCCAGGATGGGCAGTACAGGGTCTGGAGGAGGCCACAGGGCTGGGAAGCCCCAGCTGGCCTGACCCGCCCTCAGCAAGCCCAGGGTCCATGGCAACAGGATCCCGTGGGTTGGTGGGGGTGTGAAGCCTGCAGGCTGCTGGCCCATCCCAAGATCAGGCCGCTCGCAGGCCCTGCACACGGGCCCACCCCACCCAGTGCCCTGCTGTGCCCTTCTCCCCTCAGTGCAAGAAGAAGCACACACTGCTGTGCCCCGACTTCGCACGCAGGGGCATGTGTCCCCGAGGCACCCAGTGCCAGCTGCTGCACCGCAACCCAAAGCGCCAGGGCCGCCGGGCAGCCATGCCCCCCGCCCCGGGACCCAGCGACGCAGCCCCCAGGACCAGGGCCTCAGCCGGCCGTGGGCCCAGGTGATGGTGGGGGGGTGGTATGCGAGTGGGGGGCAGGCTCCGGCCCCAGGGCAGCGTCCGTGAGCCCCAGGCCCAGGTGACTGTAGAGATGCTCCAGACGGGGTCCCTGCGGCCAGGCCAAGCTGTGGACAAGGGACCGCGAAGAGCTGGGGTATCTGAGCCACCTGTGGGGGGTGGATGGGTCAGGGAGGTGGGCAGGGGATGGAGGCGGAGGCCCCGCACAGCTGGGCAGGCTGAGGCCAGCTGGGCCGGAGCCTCGGGCAGCCCAGGGTGTGGAGATGCACGGCACAATGTAGTTGTGGCTGACACCTGCTGGCCCCGACTGCCTGAGTGGCTACCTACTCACCTGCTTGTCCCCCTGTTCTGTAGGAAATCCGCTGCCCAGCGCCCCGCCAGACAGACTCCCAGCGGCCCCCCGTCGGTGGCTGCCGCCTCGCCCTCCCCAGGGCTGTCGGCCTCAGCCTCAGCCTCAGCCTCTCCCTCTCCCTCCTCATCCTCATCCAAGGCCTCCTCCTCCCCCTCCTCCCGCTCCCCTTCCCCCTCCTTGAGCCGGGAGAAGCCATCCGCTCTGGAGGAGTCTACTTCCTCCAGGAGGACGGGCTCCAGCAACCTCTGCAAGCTGCCCGCCTTCATCTCCCTGCAGTCCTCGCCCAGCCCGAGGGGCACGACCAGGACTCGGGCCCCCCGGAGCCCTCCCAGCAAGGACCCAGGTAGGAGCCCAGGCCTCCCGAGCCCGCCCTCAGTCCCGCTGGGTCGGAGCCTCCAGGTGGGATCTGCACTTGGGGAGTGGGCCTGCATATGCACCTGCCATCCTCCTGGCCCGGCCCGCTGTGCCCGCCTGCAGACCACCCCAGCCGAGGGCTGATTTAATTAGAAAGCACCCATTTCTGTTCATTTGTTCTGGAAGATCACCGCGCTCTCCTGGAGAGAACAGATGTTCCCTCTCCCCGATGAACATTTGGGGCTTGGTAAATGGCTCCACTCAGCCTTGTTTAGGAGAGAAAAGAGGATTTTATGGCTGCAAACGACCCTTTCTGTAAACATTTTACAGCTCTCCGCGCGTTTGAGTGACGATAAACCCCACGCAGCTCAGCGGCCACAGATCTGTGCCCATACGGCCGTCGCTTTATTGTCATATTTCACGGTCGGAACGCTAATGGGGGATGCTCGCCGCAGCCTCTCTGACGGCTCCGCTGGGCACACTCAGGGGCGCGGAGGGGCCGCCTCGCCACCGGCTGGGTTCGGCCAGAGGCGGCTGTGCAGACACCTGGCTGGCTGTGCCTCTTGGACTTGTGAGCATGGCCTGGTGCATGCATGGGTCAGGAGAGGCCTGGTGCCCTGAGCTGGAGCCCCCAGTCGGAACGGGACCCCGCACTCACTGGCCCTTGCTCCAGGAACCCCCCAGGCCCATCTCCTCGCCAGCTGTGCCCACACCACTGTTCAGTACAGGCACAGTGCCCGCATGCACGGGCAGCCCTGCCCTGGGCGTGGGCCTGTCTGCATGACACGTGCACTGCCATTCGAGCTCAGCTGCAGCTGCCCCGTGCCCAGGCAGAGGCTCGGCCGGCCCTTGCTCACTCCCCGCTGGGCCACGGCCAGGCCAGCATCCCGACTAGACGCGAGGAGGCTCCCTGGGGCCTGGCGGCCGGTGCTGGCGGCACACCCTGCCAGAGCCGCCCTCTGCTCCCTGCTGCGTGTCTCGGTTGACAGACCCCGCACCCCGACCCTAGACCAGGAGTCTGCAGGGGCCTGGCACCTGATCTCTGGCCTCTCCTGCAGGGAAGCATCTGCACATCAAGCCACGGCTGTGAGTCCCCGGGGCCGGCCGGCACCTACCTCAGACCCTTGCCCAGAAGGAAGGAGGCTCCACCGTCCCCACTCTGCCCCGATGCCCGCCCGACCACACCTGCCCCACGTCATCTTTTCTGACCCACGCCCAGGACCTTGTCTTCCCTCAGGGTGGGCCCTCGCTGCCGGCCTCTCTTATCCTCACCTCCCTGCCCCGGGCCTTGTCCTCCCTTGGGCTGCCCCCCCCCCCACCCACTGGCCGCCCCTGCCCCGGGCCCCAGGCTTCACACCAGGACTTGCTCCTGGCCCCTACCCCTCACGGTGCCAGGCAGGGCAGCCCTAAGTCTGTCCCCTCCGTGGGTGTGGTAGTGGCCAAATGGTGCATCCCCTGCCCTCCCCACCCAGGACTCCTGCCTGGAAATGGCCAGACCCCTGGCAGGCTCTGTGTTCAGCAATAAAGGTCTCTCCTGTGTCTGCTTGGCCCATCCTCACTACCCTGCCTGCCTGGAGCCGAGCGGGAATGGGCGGGCGGAAGGTGTGGCCTGCTCTCCCAGGCAGGAGTAGGAAAGGGCCCTGGGATGGTCCAGAGGGCAGAAGGCCGCTCTGCCGGGGGGCAGCTGGCAGGCCCTGCCCCACTGAAGGCTGGCCCTGGCCAGGGACCCTGGGCCAGCAGAGGTTGCCCTGCCCATCTCACCGCTTCACCTCCAGGCGTGGCCCGTGAGGGTGGCCTTCCCTGTCCCCCTGCTATCAGCCCTAGGCCCTGTGGCTCAGTCCATGGATAGGCAGTCCGGGTGCCCTGCCCCATGTGGCCATGAGGAACTTGGGGGTCCCCCTTCCCGCCATGGACCCTGGTCCTGTGGGTGGGGCCTCCTGACACTGGCTTTAGAGCAGAGGCTGATTCACAGAAGGTCCCTGCAGACCAAAGGCTTCCTTCCTGGTCCCTGGGGCATAGACGCCACCTTGACCCTGGCTGCCGCTGATCCCACGTAAGGGTAGGTTCTGGACACTGGGACTGCACCGCTCTAGTCCATGGCCCCTGGGAGTCTGGGCTGGACAGGGACTGCGAGTTGGGTGGGCACAGCTGGCCTGCTGCGCCTCCCCCCTGGTCACCGCTAGGCGCCTTGCTCAGCGTCCTGGGCGGAAGCCAGGGTAGAGGGGCCAGCCTTGAGCCACTGCCTGCCTCTTCTGAGCCTGGGGGCACAGACAGCCCTTGAGGGGCCGCAGGCCTGCTTGAAAGTACCAGGCTGGGCACCACCGGGTCACTTCCCCACAGGGACACCATGGCCACAGGACAGGGGGCTCAGCCTTCGGGGCTGCCCCTGCCTGCTGCCCTCCTCAGTGCCCCCCACCCGTGAGCTCACTTTGACAGCAGAGGAGTCCAGCACAGGCTCTGCCCTCAGGGAGGCGGAGACTCAGCCCTGCTGGCCTGGACCCTAAGCTGTGGCGGCATGTGGGCCCACCGCCGGGGAGAGGAGGGACACAGAGGGCCGGGCTCCCTGGCAGACCCCGGGGTGGGCACCAGGCGGCATGCTAGGTCCCAGGGCGCAGTACTGCCCTTGCCACCTGGGGGTGCACTCGCCAGACCGGCCTGCAGGGTCTGTCCCCAGACTCTTCCCACCTTGGAGAAGGCTTGGGGGCAGGCCCCCCGCCACAGTGCCCCTGCAGTCCAGGCTCTGCGGAGCCAACCGCACCCCATGCTGCTCAGACCAGGGGGCAGCAGTGAGGGATAAGCAGCTGCTTTGTGGGGTTGACACCAAGGGACTCAGTCAGTGGGACCTGGAGAGTTACTGCCCGGTGATGGCCCAGGTGGCAGTCCGGATAGGATGATTGGGGTTTTTAGGCAGGGCCTGGGTCCTGTCCCTTCAGCCTTCCTTGTCCTGCGTCTGAGTGCGTGACCCTCACTGGTGTTCCTGGTCAGGACAGGACCTGGGCAGTGACCACAGGCTGCTGGGCTGACTGTGGCTCCTCCCTAGCTGGCCAGAGCACCTGCAGGTGCCCAGCTGGAGGCCACTGGGCCTGCAGGAGTGCCAGCTTAGACTAATGGGACAGCTCTTCCGCCTCCCGACTTCCCCGCCGTGGCCGGCTGTGTGCTTCGGGCCTCCCTGGAGGGCGCTTGTGGGCACAAGGCAGTCCTGGGTAGTGAAGGTGCCAGGGTAGGCAGGACCTATGGATGTGATGGCTGAGCTGAGACTTGAGTCCACTTGAGCAGCAGAGGGAGGAGTGGGCTGTGGACCCTCCAGTGGGAGCCGAGGCCCTCCGTGGACCCTCGGGGACCAGGGCGTGGTCTTCAGGACCAGGCAAGACCTGGAGGCTAAGGGTGGTGCTGCCTTGTGTGGTGGAGGTGTGACCACCTCGGAGGCGGGAGCTGTGGGCAGCTGAGGGCCCCTAGGTGGGTGCTGAGGTGACTCCAGGGTGTGGGTTGTGGCCTGTGCCTAGGAGAGGTGCTGACCAGAGGACGTGAGGGTGGGCCGCGAGGGCCAGCCTGGACCCTCTGGGGCTGGGGGAGCTTAGGATGGAGGGTCAGCAGCCTCAATGGGACAGCTGGGGCCCCGGCAGGCGCCACACTGACGGCACCAGCACCGTGCGCTCGCCTGGTCCTGGCCCTGTGCACTCAGTGGTGGCTGTGTGTCGCAGGTACCCCACGGAGGCGAGGGCCAGCTGGGGGTCTGAGGCCCCAGGGTTTTGCCTAACTGGGTCCGCATGAAAGACAGGCAGAAAGTGAGGAATCACCCCCGGGGGATGTCCACACTGCAGTCCCTCCATTCTCTCGGGATTTTGGGCGCACACACACGCATGTGTCAGCGTGAATTTTAAGCCACTGGGTCCAGGACTCAAACTGCGGTTGAGTACATGGGAGTCCAGCAACATAACCATTACACCATCTGCTGGCCCTGGGGTTTGCTTTTTAAATGCACATGAGCCCCCTGTGGAGGGAGGCTGGCCCCACATTTTAGATAACCCTCCCCAGCGACAGGCAGCACTGTGGCCTTGAGGGCCTGGCCCTGCACTGCACCTTCGCCTTCGGAGGCCCAGTTTTGCTCCTGCAGAACACGCCTGCTGCTGTGGCCCGAAGCTGGGGAGCCAGGCGGCCCAGGCTAGTGTGCCTACACCCCTCGGCCCCAGTGGGACAGTTTGTGAAACTCAGGTGCCACAGAGGCACCATAGCCTCCTGCCCTCACATCAGACAGCTTCCCCCAACGGGACCCCACGTGCTTTCCCAGCCTCCCCACCCCCGCTCAGGCCTGCGTTCCTGCTCCCCGGCCCACCCCACTCTCACCTGGCCTACCTCTCCTGGCATCGAACCCATCCCGGCATCCAGCCCTGGGGTGACCCTCCCCATGGGCAGAACTTGAGACTATGACAGAGATGAGGACACCACAGCTGTGACTCACCTGGTGACGCAAGGTCCTTGCAGAGCTCACTGGCCTGAAGGCAGAGGTCCCTGGGAGCCCTGTGTGGGAGGAGCCGGGGTGGTGTCCAGCCAGATCCTGTGTGTCCTGCCAGCCCCGCCCGTCCCCTCTGTGCCTGTGCCTGGCAGGTCCTGCCCTCCTCCTGACCCACAGAGGCCGCAAAGCTGTGGGCACGTGCTGTTGGCCGTGCTGATGTGGGTGGCAGGTGATAGGAAGTACTCACTGCTGTCTCCTTACTGCTCTTCAGTGTGCCCTGGAGAGAGGGGAGGTGAGCAAGCACCCCAGGGGGACGGCCACACTACAGTCCCTTCTCCAGTCTCTGCTCAGGATTTTGGGCATGCACGCACACACACCCTGGTGTGTTTTTCAAGCTGTGGGTCTGGGACTTGAACCGTGCCGTCGGCTATGTGGGATCCAGTACCTCAACCACCAACTGACCCAGTTTCCTTATTTCATGGCATGTTTTCTGTGCCCTGACTCCAGCCCGGCAGATGGTACGTCCAGAGATGCTACACGGTGTGCCCGGCCATGCACCCTTCCCCACGTGCCCTGGAGGAAGTGCTGGCTTCTGGGTGGGTGCAGCCAGGCAGCAGGGGCTGAAGCGACTGCCATGCTGGGACGCCCAGCCACCTGATGGAGATGCCACAGGAGGAGGCCAGGCCCAGTGGTTCCAGGACCCAGCCTCCAGCCCCAGCCCCCCAAGTCTTCTCAGCTGCCAGGGGCAGAGGCTAGCTGGCCAGACGCTCCCAGGACGAAGCCCTCCAGAACCCCTAGACATAAGCTGAGCCTCTGCTGCCACCATGCTCAGGAGGTTGGCTCGTCCACGAACCTGGCCACCCCAGTGGCGTGTACCCCAGCAGGTGCCGGCATGCAGTGTAGAGACTTGTGGGCCCTTTGATTACCAAGGCGCACAGCCACGTGGGATCCCCTGACATTTAAGGTGTAAGGCGCCCTGAGAGGTGAGAGATCTGGTGCGGAGGGAGGGAGCTTCTCCTGAGCAGCAGGGGTCTCCAAAAGCGGGTGCAGGGCACACCTACCTGTTCCCACAGCGCCACTCCTGACAGGGCGGGAGACAGGCCCGGGCCTTCCTTGCCTCTCGCCCAGAGACCCAGCTGTGAGCACGCTGGGTTCACAGAAAGCACGCGTTTCCCCCGACGCCCAACCCAGATGTGGTGTCCCACTGGCCTCTGCCACAGGCCTGCCCTGCAGGGCTTCACAGGACCCAGCTGAATGGCGAGTCCTCCAGAGCCTTCCGGCAGGGACAAGGGGTCCTGGGAGCAGGCGGGACACTCAGGCAGCAGGGAGGGGCAGGCCTATCGGACCATTTGGGCCAGCAGCCTCCAGAGGCCAAGCCCAACCGTGGGGGGACTTGGCCAGGAGGTAGGGCTGGCCCCAGGCAGCCCTGTCCTGCCTAGGCTGCCCAGTGATGGGATGAACTTGAGCCCCAAAACACCCCAGTGCCTGTCTCCCTGCTCGCTCGCCATCACCCTGGTGGGAGCTGCAGACCTACCTCTCGGCTGGCTCCAGCCCTTCCCTCTCCTCAGGCTTGGTCACCAGAGTGGCCTAGAGATCTGGGCCAGCGCCGCCCAGCCACACCAGAGGGCGCTGGCCCCTCTGCTGGGACATTGCAGGAGGGAGGGAGAACGCAGGTGTGGATCTCGGTGAGCAGTGAGAGTTGGTAAGTGAGGAGGCAGCTCTGGCCTGGCTCCTCCGAAGTCCTGCTCTAGGGCCAGGGTGGCAGCACCGCTGGTCTGCAAGGTGCTCCAGCCTGCACCTCTCTGGGCAGGCTGGGGGCGCCACCAGGACGGAGCCTGGCTGTGGGCTCAGTGTTCCTTGGCCCTAGGCCAGGAGCCATAGCCCTACCAGGTCCCCACGAGATCCCCCAGTCCTCCTGGACTCATGACTGACCGTGTGGTCCAGTCCAGGCTCTGTGTGGGGACTTGGCCCTTCACTGACCTGGGCCTCCATTGCCTCGTCTGCAGACACAGCCACACCCAGAGGGTGACTATGAGGCCCCTGACCTGGAAGAGGGCCACGGCCCTTCAGCTCACTCACCTTTGAGTC